GTGCTGTACAGTTATGATGCATATGAAAGCTTAGATCAATGGACAGCTTTTAAGATCCATCACAGAGAAGGCCTAATAGCATATATTAATGAGTGATATGTTAACAGCTCTTACTCTGGAACTTAGCATTCATAACCTTGTGGTTTTATTTTATTTAATATCCTTCTCTTCCAGAACAAACTTTCTGTGCTTTGTTCTGTTCTTGACTGGAGCAAAGGCTGGGTACATCCTTTGTGTGTGTTTGTGTCTCTTACTTTTTATGTTAGCTTAAAATAGTGACAAGTGGTCGTGGTGGAAAAATGTGATTGGCTAAAAGAAATATTAAAAAATGCAGTTATTAATAGTGCAAATAATTCCTCCGTAGAATCAAGACGATGGCTATTATAATTTCTGAATGGTCATATGGGAAAAACTCCACTTCATTCCTACCTGAACATTTTATGTACCTCCCAGTGCTTCAGAATATTTTGTTTCTGTAGTGGTTTATATAAGCTGGCCTACAGATCCCTAGCTCTAGCTCAACTTTCTCACACTTCATAGAAAAGGATAATGGAAATGGTGAGATTTAATACAATAAAATAGGCTGAAACAGTATAGTTGCACACGTAAAGAAACATACTGTGTCTGTGTATGAAGTCCTATTGCTGTAGGCTATTAATGGGTGACCTGAGCTAGGTCTTCGTTACTATTTCCATCCAGAAATTAATTCCATTCCTATCACTGATACCAAAGGAAGCACATGCCTGAACTGCACACCCCATTGCTTACAGTCATCAAGAAGGAATCTGGATCAAATCCAACAAAGAACATAGGCTGTAAAACTTAACTGCCAAACTGAGCTGACACCTGACCCTGAAGGTACATGGAGTTCAGCACCTGCACGGCGTTCTGCATTGTGCTCAGTTCAACCCATCACCTGGCTTTGACACTGCCTAAATCTGTCTTAATAAATCATTGCAATCTATCACCCTGCCTTCCAGTTTCTGCATAAGGAGATTTGCAGTTATGCCCAATTCTTCCCCATTGTTACATACCAAATTCTTCAACTATGGAAACTAGTTAACGGCTTTTGTAACCACAGGCATAAAAGTAAGTAGCATGACCATAAAGAGATACAAGACATACAAGTCAAACTCCCACAGCTGAATGCTTCCATTGTATGTACCAGCCTTTCTCTTATCAGTGTTGTTGGCTGCACCTTTTCCTCTTTCCGTGTGCCTCCACTGTAGAAGTGTTGGCTAATGCTGAGGACAAGCCAGTTGTGATTACCTCACAGGAGGTAATGGCTGACTTCAGGTGAAAATAAGTAAAAAAAAGCTTAATCTATGATCAGTGAAAATAGTAGTTATTAATAGAACAGCAGGAAGTAAAATAATGTCTTTGAAAGTATGGCATCCACTTAGTGGGAAGAGAGGAGTTGTAAATGAAGATACTCCCTAAAGGACTGCTCGAGCACAGTGCGTTTTATTTATTTAAATCCTCCACGACTGTAGGTTCATAGATGCTTGTGATAAGAACCTTGGTTTCCTGGCAGGGTAGAGCAGATCCAGTCTTCATCCGTGTGTCTGAATGGCACCGTCACTATCTCGTATGGAAGAGTATTTGAACAGTCAAGTTGGTTTTGTCAGTTTCTTAATTTGTGAGAATATTCAAATCAACCACTTCTGTAATCTTGCCCAAATCTTAATTAATTCTGTGGTAATTTCTTACTCTAGTTACTGAAGTAATATTTATTTCTTTTGCTGCCTTTTCTATAATATCACTGACTGCAGTTTCTGTCCTACCTCCTAAAAATGTAATTTGCCATTGATGGTGATTGGTTTTTCTCTCAGTACTTTTTAAGATCCAGATTCAGGACTAGATACTCACCATTGGTAGCGATGGCATTGGTGACAGAAGATCTTCCTCTTGCTATGCAGCTTACACACTTCTCTCCATTATTGCTCGTTAATACACTCAGCGTCTCCCCACTGGAAACAGTCCCCTTTCTTTAACTTTCACCGCTCACATCCCCTAATGACTTAGTCTGCCACGCCATTCCTCAGCCCTTGCCACGTCGTAAATATTTAATGTTTCCAGCCTGGGATTTTGGAGGGGTCCTGCAGGAGCTGTGCACCCAAGCCTGGTGAGATTCCCGGGTAGCTGGGTACTCAGCTCTCTCTTGCTCCTTTGAAAATTCCAGCTTTCATCTTTTTCTTTGAAAGTCAGTCCCTCCTGCTGCTTATTCAGTTCCATATATATTTGGCTCAATTTTTTACGTAGTTAACTTGAAAGAGTAAGGCCAGAAAATCAATTACAAAACTAAATTGACTTCTCAATTGACGTAAAGAGAAATTCAACAAATAATATTACAGGATATTAGTTACAGTTTGCCGACTTTGAATTTTTGCATGTTTCCTGTGTACTCGGCTTGATTAAATGAAGACTTTTCCTACAGAGATTCTTTATTTTTCAAAACTGGTAAAAGTGGCAAGCTTATCGCATCAGCTCTGGCTGCTGAACGGCGTGCCTCATCGGCGCAGTGAGAATGCCGGAGCCTCAGAGCTGCGGTAAACCTGGTCGTTCCTTTGGAGCCTGGCAAACACCAGACAGGCTTTGACTTGTTGGGGTCACGCCTGTGAAACTGGTCTGCTACCCGCCAGGAGGACATCAGGGACAGAGACCGGTCCTGCTCGCCAAGGAAAGCTGGGTGGCTGTGGGACAGCGTGTGCGGCGCTGAGCTGCGTCCGGGCCCCGTAGCCGAGCACAGCGGGGTGCGTGCTAGACAGGGGAAAAAGTACTATTTTATTAAAAGAAGTTACTTATCTACAAATGACGCATGTTTTAAGTCTGCGGGTTCTTATTTTGAAGGGAGTAAAAGCAGGTGCTTGTGAGATGGCACAGACTGAAATTCTTTCACAGCATTCATTGATTTTTTTTTTTCCCCTTTGGTAACATAATGCAGAAAAGCGTTAATTAGGAGTAGCTACTGAGGTACATTCTCTGATTTTTTTATTTGTTTTGTTTTATTGGAAAATCATTGAAGTTATTAGTATTAGTTGTGTGGATGAAAAATCTGGTTGTGAAAAAGGCAGTAAACTATTGGTAAACACTTAGCATAGGTTTAATTTTCAGATAATTAAAAACAATTGGGTATTTTAGACAACCATGGATATTCAAATAAGATTACAATTTAAAATGAGTTGACGAGGTGTGTGTCAGCAATAAAAGCATAGTAGAATTTCCTTCACATAGTGTAAGCAGAAGGACAATAGGCCCTGACAATGTATTTTGAGACCAGACCAGATTTTTTTCGTATTTGTCCTGATACTTATTCTGTTTAGTTGTGCTGTCATCTGTGCGAGTAATCCAGTTTACAGCAGTCTGAGGTCTACGTTTCTGCTGCAGTGCCATTACATTTCTCTTTAATATTCACAATACAGGAATTATCCATACTTTCAGCAGTGCAGGGTTCAGTGTTTGCAGGCAATTAGTTGCATGATAATAAGCCTGTGGCTTTAAACTATTAGTTATTTTTTGTAATTACTCTGTTAGAAAAAACATGTTTTAAATTCCCAAACATTTATGAAATTATGTTTCTACGTGCATTGTTTTTTTTGTTTTTTTTGCTGTTCCTGGGCAATCTTTAGTCCTAATGAGAGACTGTTAGGAATTAAATAGGTCATCTTGTTCGGTAAATGGCTGTGATTACCTTTAATAGGGATTTATTTCCATGAGGTTTGCCATGACCAGTTCCACGCACCCATTCCCACTGTACTGGATTGAGGGAAAACTCTGCTGAATCTCAGCGGTTCACTTGGGGCTGCTTTTCTGTCCCAGCCTTGCAGCCAAAATGACGATTACGTACTCCCATAATCACCCTGGCTTCAGAATAAACTTATTTAGCCTTTTTTTTTGTCGATTCATTTAATGAGACAAAGCAGCAATCCTTAGTGCTCTTCATCTTGGCCTTGCCTGGTGTCACAGGCATTTGATCGTTGGTACCGCGTCTCCTTCCTCCTGAAATAGTTCCCCTCTAGATGGGACAGCTGGCGTGGGGACACCGGCAGCGGCACCGCCTTCCCCGTGGCGCAGCCAGTGCTTATGCTATAGCCCCAAATTAAGTAAACAAGGAAAAACTTAAGAAATACTTCGCAGCGCCGGGCGACATCCAAAGAGAAGCTCTCTCTGCTGAGGAGGGGTAAGCAGAAGGCTGCAGGAGGGGATTTGTGGGGATGAGCAGATGCTTTCCTCTGCACAGAGGGGATGTTTCCTGGAAGGCAGAAAGCATTTAGTCTCTATTGCTCTATCTGCAGCTGAAATGGAAAGCAAAATAGCCCCATGCCACAGTGCTAAGAGAGTGAGGATGGGGGACTGCTAAAACCAAACAATTTTCATGCTTGTGATGTACAAGCACAGATGAAAACCGGCCTCACTTGGTTCATATTCACATGAAAATATAAATAAGCAAATACTGGTTTACAGGCCATCAGATATCAGTATTTGTATCACGTACTCTGAAACATCACCCCTTCTTCTTGTCAGCATCATAACTGATATGCAATTACAGATGTCCTTCCTAGTAGTGAAAGCTTTGCTGTGACATCAGTTACTGCTTAAAAATGCCTTAATTGTGCCAGAAATCCAGTCCCATTATTCAGTACTATGACATTCTACTGCAGGTCCTGGGAAGAGGCGGAGTGCAGAGCACAGCAAAATGGCACGGTCTTTATCCCGTTGTCCCCAAGGATCCTTACAAGAAGTTATGGAAATATATAGTACAGGGGTGCCTAAAATAGCCAGATCAGGGTGGACGAAAGATGACTTTCAGTAATATTGGTTTCTTACCTTTGAACCACATTTCTTTTCCTTCATGTGCTTTTAAGCGTCTTTAGAACAGAGGTGTGATCGTGTCGTAGCTCGGTGTGGCTGTGGACGTGCATGTGACAGCCACGGGCGGTCGGTGCCCAGATGATTTATTTTCTGGGGTCTCTCGTACTGTCCCTCACTTTTGTATATAGGTGTGTGATCCGAATGTGATGCAAACCCGAACTCGACAAGTGCTGAGGTCTTCTGTCAATACAAAGCCCTGCCCTGAAATTTCACAGAAGAAGCCGTGTATTCTTAACCAAAATTGCTTCCAGTATCAGTACAATCTAACAGGTCGGTATAACTTTCCAATATACTCTTAGCAGGAAGTGACACCAGCTACAGCATATATTAAATTGATGTTCTGCTTTTCCAAATGTCTTTGCATGAAAGGTTCAGCTCCTTAAAGGCTTTCTCCAGTTATATTTTATTTGTTTGCTTGTGGTGTTGGTTAAAGCCTTGACATTAGAAGAGTTATATGTGGACATCACTGGTTTCACTAACATTAATTACATGCCTACATTTTTTTTGTCGACAGGTGAGTAGGGAAATGCACAACTTTTAATTTAAGTTGTCATTGCAGGTACACTGGAAATAAAACAGGTTAAATATCTCCTTTTTGTTGGGTTATCAACAGAATTAACGACGAAATTCCAGTTAAAAGAGTATCATCTGTGTGAGTCTGGTGAAGCCAATAATACCAACAGTGGCCTAATTTGAAGGCAATATGGGTGGGCACAGGCTATGCAGAGCAAAATGCATTATTTAGGACCTCAGAAGCAATTAGATCTGTTGCAAACAAACTAACAAAAAAAGAAAAAGGAAAAAATCCTTTTGTTTTGACCAGCTTGGATAAATGAGAAAGCAGAGAGAGGAGAGGAGATCTAAGAGGAGTTTTGGGGGCTGGTGGAAAGGGAGAACAAAGCAGGAGAAGATGTTCTGTCTGAACATAAACTCAGCCTGCTTGCAGTAAAAGGCCTTGAAACACACAGGCAGCAGGACGATGCCTTTTGTATCACCACATTTCAGAAATGCAGAACATTGATGTGTTCATGTTTATCAGAGGTGGAAGACACAAAGCCATGGATTTTCTTCTCCTGTGCTTCCTAGTTGGTGGTGGTGGTGTATGGAAATCTTTGTTGTCTGTGTTATGCTTTTCTGTTCTTTTTAAATAGTGTTTTAAGGCTTATTTTAGTTTAGATGTATTCTGACCATCGTAATTTCAAACAAGGAATAGGATATAAATTTTCTTCTGCTAGACATACTGTTTTTATTTCATCAGTATTAAAGCTTAGTTTTTAAATAATGGAAAGCTTTGCCGTGGAGTCAAGAAATAGGTTAAACCAGAGGTACCCTTCAGAAACTTCCCCAGCTGCTTTATCAAAGCGAAAGTTTGCTTCGGACAATAGTGTCTTGTAGAGGCTCCAGCTGGGTTGAACTGGTGCACATTATCAGCGTGTGACGGTTTTCTGTGCTCCCTGATGTACTGGTTTTGTTAAGCGGCTATCGGAGTGCAAAGTAAGGAGTTTCTCCTCCGAGACTTGCTCGGTTTTGAGAGCAACGTTCTTTTGTGGGGGTTGTTCCTGGGTCTGGGATGCTCCGACATGTGGAAGCGCTGCGCTCGGGGAAGGTGACCCACGCATTGAGTAACAGAAGGTGGGAAGGTGGAACGACGGCCATGGCCTGCGGCACAGCACCCTTTGCTTTGTGTCCGCAGGCTGGAGTGGGTGCCAGCTGAGTGCCAACGCGGTGTGCGGGCGCGGGGAGCGGCGGCGTCTGCTGAGCTGCCAGCGCAGTGATGGGGCCACGGTCAGCACGCGGCTCTGCCAGCGGGTGAGAGTTGTGTTTGTGCTGGGAGAGCAGAAGTTGGGGGTTTGGGCAAATAAAGACATCCCAAAGCTGTTAGTGAGTGGTATCACTCTTTGACTCAAACGGGAGGTTTTGGAGTTGGAGGAGCACGCATGGGGCACAGCTATAGCCCTGCACCATGGCTCCAACAAAGCTGGCCACCACAGAATGGTTTGGGTTGGAAGGGACCTTAAAGGTCACCCAGTTCCAACCCCCCTGCCATGGACAGGGACACCTTCCCCCAGACCAGGTTTCTCCAAGCCCCGTCCAACCTGGCCTTGAACCCTACCAGGGAGGGGGCAGCCACAGCTTCTCTGGACAACCTGGGCCAGGGCCTCACCACCCTCAGAGTAAAGAATTACTTCCTTATGTCTAATCTAAATCTGCCCTCTTTTAGTTTACAGCCATTCCCGCTTGTCCTATCCCTACAAGCCCTTGTGAAAAGTCCGTCTCCATCCTTCCTGTAGGCCCCTTCAGGTACTGGAAGGCTGCTCTAAGGTCTCCCCAGAACCTTCTCTTCTCCAGGCTGAACAGCCCCAACTCTCTCTGCCTTTTGTCATAGGAGAGGTCTTCCATCCCTCTGATCATTTTTGTGGCCTCCTCTGGACCTGCTCCAACAGGTCCTTGAGATTGTGCCAGGGAGATTGTGCCATGCTGGAAGTTTGGGATTGTCCTTTTAGAGTAGTACCCAAGCACTGATGGACTCGTAGACGTGAAATGCTTCAACACTGAAACTGATTTCACCAATTGCACCCTCAGGAAAACTCCCTGTAAGCAGCAACGTTGGCATCCCGCCGGCGTCGCTGCCAATTTTCGGTGTCCTGACCCAGTGCCCAGCGGCGGCGGGGTGGCCGGGGGCCTTGGGGAGCCTGACACCTGTGTTTCCTTCTCCTCCCACAGCTCCACCTGGAGAAGCCCTTGCAGACGAGCAGCCGGTGCATGGTGGGGTGCGCGGTGGACTGCCGGCTCTCAGCGTGGTCAGCCTGGTCGCAGTGCTCCCAGACATGTGGTGCTGGCGGTGAGGCCCCCCTGTCACCTCTCCCCCCACGCTTCAGCCCGCAGCGCCGACGGGACCCCCAG